ATATATTTTCAAATCTTTCTTATACAGATTTATATTGTAGATTGATTCATTCTGAATTTTACTCTGTTTTCTAAAACCCGTCACCTTTGAATTTTGACCGTCGGATTCAATGGAAGGATTAGCTATCAGATCATTACGACCGTCGATTTTCTGTTCACTTCCTGGTCTCGGCGGCGATTCTCACCGGCGACCACCGAGTGACGGTTTCCTCAAGCTACCGGCGTCGTCGAATGCGGCGGAGAATCCAAGATTAGTCGCGAATTCGACTTCTTTTCTTCCAATCTCCACCGTCAAAGCTTCCCTCACCGCCAATTTTCCCGCCCTTACTGGTACTTGCTCTGTTTCTTCATTCCAACAATCTTGTTCGTGAAATCAACAAAAAGAATACATTTTTCCTTGATCTGAGGTTCTGGGTTTTTGCAATTACCATGATTCTTAACAAAATGATCAAGAAACGTTGCTCGAACCTGTAAAAACCTATGAATGATGTCTCTGAAAATCTCGAATCTTTTTTGTAACAGAAACGAATCTGAAAGAGGAAAGAATCAGAGGAGAGAAGAAACCAGATAACATTGTGTGGCACGAGAGCTCAATCTGCAGATGCGACCGACAACAACTACTTCAACAAAAGGGTTGTGTCATTTGGATCACTGGTCTTAGCGGTTCAGGTTTCTTTACAAATCCTTCCTCTGTTAAAAACTCGCGTTTGCGTTTGCGGTTAACTCATTGTTATGTAAGTTTCTCTTCTTCTTATTATTTAGGGAAAAGCACAGTTGCGTGTGCGTTAAGTAAAGCATTGTTCGAAAGAGGCAAACTTACTTACACACTCGACGGTGACAATGTCCGTCACGGACTTAACCGGGACCTCACATTCAAAGCAGAGGATCGTACCGAAAACATACGAAGAATCGGTACAATAATTACACATAACTAATGATCATGTATTCATGGTTGGTTTGGTTAAAGTATAATGATGATGATGATCAATGATCTTGAATATTTTCAGGTGAAGTGGCTAAGTTGTTTGCTGATGTGGGAGTTATTTGTATAGCAAGTTTGATTTCTCCGTACCGGAGAGACAGAGATGCATGCCGGTCTTTGTTACCGGAGGGAGATTTCGTCGAGGTATAACATTATAACAATTTACTACATATATTATGATTCTTATAAACCAGTATATGATAGTGTATTGATTATGTGTTAAATTGTTTTAGGTGTTTATGGATGTTCCTCTCTCTGTGTGCGAGTCAAGAGATCCAAAGGGATTGTATAAGCTCGCTCGTGCCGGCAAAATCAAAGGTATATAATACATACATATCCAAATTTTATTTTTCAAAAACGTTGGTTTTGATTTGTTGACCTTAGAATTTGAAGTCAGGTAATATATAGTATTTGAAAGTATGAGAACTTGTATTGAATCTTCTTCTTCAATCTGTGCTGGATATTCCTGGTGCTATGATAAATTTGTGACTGTTTTGTGTTAAGATATTATGATTTAGTCGTACAATATTTGGATTTATACATAGATAACCCTAAGTTTATATGTGATTATGTTCCCCAAGCATATATCCTTTGTATATTAATAGAGAAGACACTAGGTGAAAAATCATATGTAACATCTATAGAGGAATTTAAAGATCTTATTTCCTAAAAAAATTATTAATGACAAATATATTGAAATAACAAATATGTGGTAATTATTATAGAAAATTTTATTTAAGGAATATAGAAAATATTTGAAAATATCTTATTGTATTTTCAATAACTACTAGATTTTTTTATCCGAGTCAAACACTGGATTAGAATATTCAAAAGCAAAAATTGATGATTATTTCTAATAGAAGGGAGAAATTAAAACTAACAAAGATAAAATATATTTATGTTTGATCAAAATATAACTTTATGATATTTATGCACAATACATATTATTTTTGAACGTTTACAAATGTTAGAATACTTGTCTAAATATTAAATTCGATTAAAAACATATTAATTATTTAATCCCACGTTTGGCGTGGGTCAAAATCTAATTTTATAGTAATCATATAATATGTCTATTACATCTTTCAATAATAAGTTAAATAACAATTGACATTCATTTTTTAATTGGTTAAAGATATTGGTCTACTACAAGTTACATTATATATAGTTAGAGACTTAAAGAGCTTTTCATTAGGATATATATATTATTTTGTACCAAAACAATTGCTTTTTACTAATATTATTCAAACTCAATGCATGATATTTTTCGTTAAGTAACATATATATGGATTGTGATTTTAAAATATTGATATAAAAACAGTTAATTTGCAATGTCAAATATTTAAGTAGTATTAAAAGATATCTCTAATCTTTGATTTTCTTTTCTTCATTCAGGCTTCACTGGAATCGACGACCCTTACGAGGCACCATTGAATTGCGAGGTTCGTTTATGTTTATTCAATAATGAATTTGAAGAATATGATACGTAAATTTCTAATATAGCATTGATGTATTTATGTATATATAACTTTATAGGTAGTGTTAAAACACACAGGAGACGACGTTTCTTCTTCACCACGTCAGATGGCTGAGAACATTATCTCTTACCTGCAAAACAAAGGTTACCTTGAGGGCTAAATCAAGTCTGAAAAATGAAAGACAAAAAAACCACCAAAAATTTGTCGACTTTAATTAAATTTTCATAAATGGTTAAAATGATTGCTCTCTATGGATCCCTCAGAAGCTTGAGACCTGATACGTCGTCGTCTCGCTTCGTCATAATATCGTTTTCTTGAACTCTGTTAAACTCGGAAGCAAGAGGAAGGGAAAAACATTATTTTATTTTTATAATTAGCATTTAGGTAGTAAATAAAGAGTTGTTTTTGCTCGAAATAATGTTATCGATTGTGTTGTATAATGTGTAATTGTGTATTAATAAATGGGATTCGTTTGTATTTCGTTTGTCTTAGATTCCTAATTAAATTATACTATTTACTGATTCGAACTCAACCCTTCGATCCACAACCACAAGACAAGCTATAGTTAGTTCATAATCGATATTAATGTATATTTTCGAATTAGTTTACAACTTATTACTCTTTTTTTTTGTAAGGCTGTTTACCACTCACTCGTGAAGTTTATATTTTGTAAATATGATCATTAGGATGCCACACGTAAAACATTCATAAAAACCGTTCAACATAAAGTATTCATAAGATAAAAAATGGTGGATGTTCTAAAAAGTGTATGCATATCAATACTATAAGATCAGATTAGAGATGATGGCGTTGATTGTTTTCTTGTGTGTGTGTTACATTTAAATTCTTCCGTTACAATTAATAGATAACTACATATAAAATGAGAATTTTGTTTGTACTTTTTTTTTTTAATGCTTTTGATAAAATATAGAGTTCAAAGTATTGTATATTTCTAAAAATATGAAAATTCTATTTTTAAGTTGCTAACATGTTCACAATGGGAGGCTGTCTCATAAGCCGTTGAGAAAGGGTTCAAGAAATTGAGATTTGAGTCCGACTCATCTCAACTTATCAATACCATCAATTTGGGATTATCACCCCTGGACCTCTATGGTATCATCAAAGACATCAAGGTTTTGGCCCAAACCTTCGAACATGTTTCTTTCGTTTGTATTGGCAGGGATCTAAACGCAAATGTTGACTCGCTTGCAAAATAAGCTTTGAAGCTTTTACTTGTAACGTCATAATGATAATATGAATGAAATTTCTACTTTTGACAAAAAAAAATTGCTAACATGTTATATAAACACGTAATTTTACATTTGAAACAATCAATACCAAGCTAGTCTTTTAACCAAAAAATACCAATCTAGTTTAAAAAACATTGAATAATTAGTTGTTAATAAATATTTTTGTTAAAATGGTTGATAAACATGAAGAGATAATGATATAGGTTTATTCTATCGATCTATGATAATTATTTTTCTAAAAACCCTATTCAAACGTACTCATTTACTAAATAATCTACTTTTATATGCTTTGTAAGAGCATCCACATTGGTGGTCTCTCACGAAGGTATATCATGT